GCCAGTGCTAACCCTCAGCCTCCAGGCTGTACAACCGTCAGGTGGCACCAATCCCTGAAAGTTGTAGAAAACATAATTACCATAATTACCAGTATCAGTTCAAATGGCCAAGTAGGAACACAAGGTCATGATAAATCTATAAAGCACTGAGATACTGTCACTTTGTGTTATTGGCTTTGTTATGGTGAGGACTGCAGCTGGACCATCGGGGGTTTTGACTGATATTCTACTCTGTTAGCATGTTAGCATATATGCCATAGAGATAACATTGAAGCAGAGTTACTGGAGCGACTAATCAGATGAGCTGTTACGTGTAAGTTCATTTCATCCACCCCAGAAGGTGTGGGTGTTCATGAGAGACACGCCTTTTTTTGATCAAGGTCTTTTTATTGAACAAAAAATTGCTTTTAACTACAATTAAAGCAGTATTAACAAACAGCCCCCCCTCCAGAACAGTGTAACTAAAACCCAGCCAGAGAAGAAGAAAGAAATAAGATAAAATAAAATTACAGATAAAAAGTAAATAATAACATAAACGAATGCAAGCAAGGGGAAAAACAAAAAAACACACACATTAAGCAATAGTATCTGGATTTAAACTTTCAAAGTAAGTTAGAAAAGGTTTCCATATGTCATAAAATGTCCGAGCCGAACCTTTTACAGAGTAGCGGATCTTTTCCAGCTGAGTATTGTACATGACGTCCTTAACCCAGTGCGCATAGACAGGTGGAAGTGGCTCTTTCCATTTCAATAAGATCAACCTACGGCCAAAAGAGTGCAAGAAGGCCAGAGTGTGATTCAGAAAGACTGGCATCATAAAGCGTCACCCCAAAAATGGCCATGAATGGACAGGCTGTGATTGGAATGCCACATATCTTGGACATGGTTTCAAATATACTTTTCCAAAAGCTACCCAATTTTGGACAAGTCCAAAACATGTGAAGTAGAGAAGCAGGCTGTTGTCTACACCGGACACATGTGGGGTCAAACCCAGCCTTGATTTTGCTCAGTCTAGTTTTAGACCAGTGGAGACGGTGAACCACTTTAAACTGAATCACCACATGTTTGAGGCAGGTAGATGATGAAAACATCCTATTGATGATCCTATGCCAAGTCTCGTCTGCAATCTGTTGGCCCAGATCTCTTCCCCATGGTTCCCTAAGAGATTGCAGTGTGGACAGCTACTTAACAGCTCATAAACATCACTTATAACCCGCTTGGCGTCCAGTTTAAGATCAAAAACATCATCCAAAAGAGACGGAGGTGCACAGGACGGAAAGCACTCAGTGTTAGAAGCAACAAAGTTCCCAAGTTGTAGATACCTGAAAAAATGTGACCGAGGGATCTTGAACTTAGTCACCAATTGTCCAAGTGAACAGAAGATCTGTGAGAAGAGCAGTCATTGAAGTTACTCCAAGCTTTGTCCACTTGTTAAATGCCTCGTCCTTTAAGGATGGAGAGATCATGCAATGTCTATGCGGTGGTGCAATAAGGGAGAGTTCAGTCTGTTTAAAGTGCCTTCTCTACCATAATGTCAGTGAGTGGATGACGAGAGGGTTTGTGGTAAAGCTGGAGGTCCTGCCAGGGCTGATCTGGCTCACAGCAAAGACAGCAGGGATTCACTGCTCCGGTGTTACCCATGATAATTAACTATCATGAACCTTTACCCAGTACAATAATGCCTTATATTAGATGCTAAGCCCCCTGCGCACCACGGTCTTTGTAATATTCAGACTAGGTGGCTTTTGTTCCAAATGAAGGAAGAAATTTGACTATTCAGATTGTTAAAGAAAGACTTAGTTAAAAAATTGGAAGACATTGGAAAAAAATATAGAAATTTAGGAAATATACTCATCTTGATGATATTGATTCTACCACCCAGCAGAAGAGGCAAGGACTCCCACTTTCCAAAATCCTCTTTTAGCCAAGACAATAAAGGAAGATAATTAGTTTTATACAAGTCTTTGTGGTTCTGTGTCACCTAAATATTTAGTTATAGCTAAAATAGACGAAAATGCCCCAGTTGTTGTTCCTATAGGCATTGCCCCGCTCTTCCCAAAATTCACCTTGTATCCAGAAATTGTCCCAAATTCCTTAAGAATAACATAAAAGTTTAGGGAGGCTATTTGGAAATAAACAAAAGCATGTCGTCGGCACAAACAGAGACGTTATGTTCGATACCCCCTCGATGTATTCCTCAACATCAACGTATTATCTCAGAGCAACAGCTAGCGGTTCAATCGCGATGGCAAAAAGAAGAGGTGACAAAGGGCGGCCCTGTCGTGTGCCGCGTTGGAACTCAAATCAGGGGGACAAATTATTGTCAGTCCGAACGGCCGCTAAAGGGGGAACATTACAATCATTTTATCCAAGACACAAAATTACTCCCGAAGCCAAATTTCTCAAACGTATGAAAAAGAAATTCCCATCTCTCCCGATCAAACGCTTTTTCTGCATCAAGCGAAATGACCGTTTCCAAAACATTACCTTTGACAGGCCTTTAAATTATATTTAATAAACGTCTAATATTAAGACATGAATACCTATTGTTTAATAAAGCCCGTCTGAGACGATTGAGGACAAAGGAGGACAAAGATCTTGGTGTCTGTGTTCCACAAAGATGTTGGACGGTATGAGCCACAGTCTAAATGCTTGATGCCTTGTTGGAGGAGGAAAGATTCTTCAAAGGTTGATGTTAACAGTGAAATCGATTAGTTAGAAAACTTTTTGAAAAAATCTGAAGGATACCCATCGGGGCCAGGAGATTTTCCAGACTGCATGCTCCCTATGGCCATTTCAATTTCAACATAAGAGACAGGCTCCTCCAAACTGGTGGTCACATCTTCTCCTGAGGAAGGGATATCAAGTTTCTCAAAGAAATGTTCAGTGCTACGTCATCGTTAGCTGGGGCAGCTGTATAAAGTCTGATAGTATTTTAGAAAACTGTTATTTATCTCTTGGTTATCCGTGCACCTTATTCCCTGGTCATTCCGCATCTCAAGGATAGCTTGATTAGCTGTTCTCTGCTGATGAGCTAGCAGCTTGCATGTTTTTTCTCCATGTTCACACGCGTAGCTACAAAACTCTGAAATTAGATACTCGGCCTGTTTTGTAGATATGAGATTGTTTTCAGTTTGATTGTAACCTCCATTTATATAACACAGGATCAGGAAAATGGCTATATACAGCATCTAGTGCAGTAATTTCATCAGCTAATTGAGAGAGGCGCTCTATTCTTTTTTGTTTTGCACAAAATGAAATGATTTGGCCTCGCAGATATCTTTTAGGGATTCCCAAACAGTTGAAGGTGACGTCCCTGGGGTCCTTATATAATTAAGAAACTTTTTGTTTGCTGACAACACTGGATTGAACCTCCATGGCGGATACTTAGAGCAGGCATTGGGAAAGAAACAGGGGAATGATCTGAAACGACCATGGCCTTGTAATCACAGTCTGTGACTAAAAGGAGTTTTTGTCCAGAAAGAAGTGATCTGTGCCAGTATATGTTTCATGGACATAAGAAAAAAAAGAATATTGACTCGAATTTGGGTTACGAAATCTCCTTACATCAGCTAAACCTCCGACAGAACCAGGCTCAGGGAGGGGCGGGGCCATCTGCTGTGATTGGTTGG